ACAAAAAATTAAACGATTTATAAGAAAAAGTGTTTTAGTCAATTTTCTTGAATCTTTGATATTATAATTAAGTTCTTCTGTTTAATAAAATTTCAATTTATAGAATATTTCTAGTTTCTGAATTAAAATCAGAGAGAAAGAATAATTAAGATTAGTGATAATATTGAATAACATTGATTCACTTTTAAAGAGTACGTTATATTTTTTTATATGATATACTTATGAAGTAATTTTCACATCCTATTGCTTTAAAATTAAGAAATAATTAAATTTACCAGTACAATACGCAACATTTATAGTGTAATTCAATGTGTAATACATAAATATATCCAAATTAAAATCGTCAAATTAATAAACATTTTTAAAAATATTACACATGATTATTTTATTTGTTTTTTAATCGTATATATTTAATCGGAAAAAAACAAAAAACTTTTTTTTGAGATATAAATTCTTATAAAGACAAAAATGTAAGAATCTCTAATTTCTATCCAAATAATCAAAATCATAGATAAAATTTTAATACATTATTTTAATACTAAAATATTTTTTAAATATGAACATTAAATGTCATTAATATTTTAATGAATATTTTAAGTCTTTTTAAGTTTTATAAAATAATTTATATTTTATATGTGCTCCATAACAAAAAACGCGAAATATAAATGTCGCAAGGAAAAATGACAAAATTTCCAAATAAATAAATAAATAATAAATTACCTATAGTTGTTCCGCCATTGCCCGATGCCTCCCAGGCCTCCTCTACCTTCCTGATGTCTCCTTGGAAGCTTCCTTGTTGCACTAAACACTCGCGAAAACACGATCGCGCACTGATAATCAGAATATAACAATCGCGCGATACTTTACACGGCATTCCCAATATTAATCCCGATGCCCACTTTATAACATAACGAAGTAATACCGTACGAAAAAATGATTCAACGAAGCTGAGACTCGCTTATTCATCGGCAGTCTTTTGTCTCGCCATGACACTTTTTCATACGTTCACGCACATTCGCGCAAATGAGATTATAATCGCGATAATCGCGCGGCACTCTGCACTCCCGAAAATTAATTACTTCGTAATAACGCGGATCATCACGAAAGATTCGAACGGAGCTACGATTTTGCTTGATCTCACGACATTCTGTGGATTAGGGAACTAGACGCGACGAACTAACCTTCCAGCAACCGGTGGGGTGGCGCGATGTAGAAAAAAGCGACGATCGACGCGCGATGTAGAAAAAAGTGACGATCGACGCGCGATGTAGAAAAAAGCGACGATCGACGCGCGACGATACGCACATAACTTCAAACCGTCTGCCCCCCCCCTCCTCCAAACGCGCGCGACGGTTACCCTTGCTCACTTCAACTGAATTTTCTTACATTTTCATCATTTTAAGTTTAATAAATAATATATGTTCGCGTTCGGAGACGATTGCTGTTTCTTGTTATAAGACAAACGAACATGTAAGATAAAATTAAGGACAAGGATAAATATCCGCGCGAAAGTAATATTCAAAAATATGTCCGTTACCTTGTCGACAAGCCCTGGACTTCGTTCGAACAATCTCGTAAGATAAATATTTCAAGACACTGCCGAAATGTTAACGCCGAATTTATGTTAACGAGTATCGAAACACGGGATTAATTATAACAGTATTGATTAATTAAGTACGTTGTAGTACCCAAATTTCGAATCTTTCTTGTACTTGCGATATTCAGTGAACGACGAAAAATATCGAACATTGTCGCCAACTTCGTTCTGATGCCATGCGATATATGACGTGAATCGAGTTAATGTTCAACTAGCAGTTCCGAAAATATATTGGTAATACTGAAAATCTGTAGAACTCATGCATGCTAATAGATTTATATATTCAGAATTATTGTCAGGATTACTATCAATTCATTTCGAAATAAACCCAAGAACTCCATAAATTAACCGAAAATATTAATTTTCAATATGTTAATATATAAATTTAACCACGAGCAACTAAAAAAATTGAAACACGATATAAGAGCTACTCGAACGTAAGAAATTAAAAAGAGAAATAGATAAAAACAATTCGTAATCTTATTTCCCGTTTCAAGTGAATAAATCACGCGATATATTCTTGCCGAACTCTCATCTCTTATGATAAATTCGCGAATCGTTTATCGTAGGATATCTAATCATACAGATTAAAAAATAATTTTAAATTTCTTTCAATATACCTCTCGCGACTCGAAGGATAATGATACGACGATACACCAAGCGAGCCGAGCCGTTACGTCCTATCTGCTCGAACCTCACCGTGCGAATAACAAGCCGGTCACCGGAAATGTTTACGACAGCGCCCTGCGCCACCGAATTCCGCGACAGTGACGTCACTCTGTAACGAACGGGCTTCAAACAATTACTGCGAATATATACTGTCGCAATAATATTTCGTTCGTCGTTTTGTGAATATTAATCTTTAGTACACACCTTAGTTTTGGATACCTTTATTACACACGTTAGATCATTCATATTCTGGATTCATTTTCATTTACTTTATAAGTACTTATATAAAAATTATTAAGCGATTTTTACATTTTTATATTTTGTTGTAATTGAAGAATCAATCGATTGAGGGGTATCAGAAAGAGAAAGAGGAAGAGAGAGAGAGAGAGAGAGAGAGAGAGAGAGAGAAATATAGTTATTAATTTATGGTTGCATATAATTCAATGGAAATTTAAAAAAATTTTATAGTATTCAATGATACTATCATTAATTATAAAGTATAGTTTGTGATGTACATGATTTGCAAACCAAGATTATCGTTCGATGATTCTGCCATAGAAATCTATGAGCTAACATGAGAACTGTAAATTGTATGGAGAATATATTGTATATAAAAGATAATCGATTTAAAATTAGTTATGAAGAGGTATATAAGATAGATCCAATATTAATTTATATTGTATAAATATTAATTAATTTATATTATGTATAATTAAATTATATATAATTAAATTGTATAGTTTCAAGAGGACCATTATTAAAGATCGAAATGTTTGAATTTATTTATATTGTTTGAATGATTATATGATTAATTAAATTAACACACGTTAATTTAATAACTAACTAAGCTCTGATAGCCCCTCACGATATACATATATATGCAAATGCAGTATATTTTCAATGTATAACTATTCATGCATATTAAAAAAATATTATTTTGGTTAATTAAATTTTTTGAACAACCGACACTTGAACTTTTATTTTTTTCTTTTAGTTTGGAATGTCACTTTAAGTTGAAACGTATTTTTCCTTCAAACATTTTTATTTCAAAGTTTTATATTTTTGTATGAAAAGTGCATTTTTTAAATTTTGTTAACAATATTTAATTATAACAATTTATATACAATTTATTATAAATATACAACTATACAAATACTTTCTAAAGATGTGAAAATATATGTAAAAATCACTTAATAATTTTTATACACTTGTAAAAGTGATGAAAATTAATCTCTAGGAGTGCGAAAATTTTTGTAACACACGCCTTTACACGCCTATCAACAGTTGTCGGTGTCGTTGCGCAGATATTTTATATGGTAAAAAAGCTGCGCAACGACACCGATAACTATCGATAAGTGTGTAAAACAGTTACAGAATATACATAGATCCAGAACACGAATGACCTAACGTGCATGTGTAATAAGAGTATCTAAAACTAAGGTGTGTACTAAGGGTTTGATATTCACAAAATGACGAGCGAAATATGCGACAGTATATTATTTTGTACGCAGTAATTGTTTGAAGCCCGTTACAGAGTGACGTCAGTGTCGCGGAATTCGGTGGCGCAGCGCGCTGTCGTAAACATTTTCGGTGGTTGGCGACCTTGTTATCATTCTCACGGTGAGGTTCGAGCAGGTAGGACGTAACGGCTCGGCTCGCTTGGCGTATCGTCGTATCATTATCCTTCGAGCGAAAGGTATATTGAGAGAAATTAAAGATTCTTCCATTTGTACGATTAGATATTTTACGATAAACGATTCGCAAATTTATCATAAGAGACGAGAGTTCGGCAAGAAATATTTCATGTAATTTATTCACTTGAAACGGGAAAATAAGATTACGAATTGTTTTTGTAGTATTTCTCTTTTTATTATAATATGCTCCTTGCATTCAAGTAACTCTTATATCAGCGTTTCAATTATTTTTTTAATTCGTAATTAAATTTACATATTAACATTGAAAATTAATATTCTCGGTTAATTTGTGGAGTTCTTGGATTTATTTCGAGATGTACTGAGTCAATACCGTCACAATTAACCCCGATTAACGTGTTTCGATCGTTAACCCGTTAATATAAAGTCGGCGTTAACATTTTGGCAGTGTCTTGAAACATTTTTCTTACGAGATTGTTTGAACGAAGTCCAGCGCTTGTCGCCAAGGCAACGGACATATTTTTGAATATTACTTTCGCGCGAATATTTATCCTTGTTGAATATTTGTCCTTAATTTTAACTTACATGTTCGTTTATCTTATAACAAGAAACAGCAATCGTCTTCGAACGCGAGCATATATTATTTGTTAAACTTAAAATGATGGAAATGTAAGAAAATTCAGTTGAAGTGAGCAACGGTAACCGCGCGCGTCGATCGTCACTTTTTTCTACATCGCGCGTCGATCGTCGCTTTTTTCTACATCGCGCGTCGATCGTCACTTTTTTCTACATCGCGCGTCGATCGTCGCTTTTTTCTACATCGCGCCACCCCACCGGTTGCTGGAAGGTTAGTTCGTCGCGTCTAGTTCCCTAATCCACAGAATGTCGTGAGATCAAGCAAAATCGTAGCTCCGTTCGAATCTTTCGTGATCCGCGTTATTACGAAGTGATTAATTTTCGGGAGTGCAGAGTGCCGCGCGATTATCGCGATTATAATCTCATTTGCGCGAATGTGCGTGAACGTAATGAAAAAGTGTCATGGCGAGACAAAAGACTGCCGATGAGTAAGCGAGTCTCAGCTTCGTTGAATCATTTTTTCGTACGGTATTACTTCGTTATGTTATAAAGTGGGCATCGGGATTAATATTGGGAATGCCGTGTAAAGTATCGCGCGATTGTTATATTCTGATTATCAGTGCGCGATCGTGTTTTCGCGAGTGTTTAGTGCAACAAGGAAGCTGCCAAGGAGACATCAGGAAGGTAGAGGAGGCCTGGGAGGCATCGGGCAATGGCGGAACAACTATAGGTAATTTATTATTTATTTATTTATTTGTCACTTGCGGAATATTGATCACTTATCGTCGCGACAATTGCATTTCGCGTTTTTTTGTTGTGGAGCACATATATAACATTAGAGAAGATATGGCCAGTGTCGATCTAATGACCCGTCTTAATATCTGCGTTATTAAGTGGCGGATTCTAGCAATAGCAATTATTATAGAATTATTTGTTTCGTAGCTCGCTGTTATTACGATAATTATGCCAATGCTAATATGCCAATATACAATAATTAGTATTTATTATAATGTATTTTTACTTTCAGATATTTTGAAACATTTTTAATACACATTTTTAATACACATTTTAGCATTTAATTACGCATATTTCGTTATTCTTAAACGTATTATTACATGAATATATATATGTTTGTTCTTTGTTACTTAACTTTTCGTTGGCTATGCATTTTGAGTTATACAAAGTGAATCAGTAGTATGACATTTTGATAATAGCCCTCTAAACGTGTGTGATTTCTTCACGTGTTGTGGCCTCTTTTTCGAAGTTTTCATATCACAAATAATTGTATTCCATAAATTGTAGCTCTATTTTCTAATTTGTGTTACATGTATATAGATATTTTGATGTGATTGGGCACGCGCGCAGTCACATCAAAGCATTCGTACATAGTTGTCGAAATACATTCATATGAGGACAGGCACACAAATGCAAACTCATGTATGCAATCGTGCGAACAGGTTTCATAGAAGACTTTCAAATGTTTTTAATTCAGAAACTATAAAAAAAGTTTTCAGTCAGTTTTTGCTTGAATTTTTTGTATATTACATTTCTTGCACTCCTAGTAAAAAAAATTTCAATTTATAAAACATTTCTGTGTCTATATATCTCGTTCACGGAGAGAACATCATAATCGATGCAGGTTGTAATCAGATTGGTAGAAGATTCGAGCACGTTACTTAGTGTTGCATGCATTGTTTGTCGTATTTCTTAGGCAGTCCAAGTGTGTAACAATAAAAAAGTGCATGCGGCATTGAGTAACATGCTCGAATCCTCCATCTTGATCACAACTTGCACGAATCTTTGTTCTTTCTGCGAACGAGTTATAGAATATAAAAGTGTTATATAAATTGAAATTTTTTTTACTGGGGATGCAAGATTTGTAATATATAAAAAATTGAAGCAAAAATTGATTGAAATTTTGACTAAAAATTTTTTTCCATATAAATCGTGCGATTTCTTTTTCAATTTCAATTGCGTATACGATTATTATTCTTTTCTATTTCATTATTATGGTCAGGTGTGTGATCAAGTAGTATACGTATAATTCACAATCGGATATTCTTGACAAAGACGTATCGCAAAGTTTGAGATTTTGACTTTTTTACTTCCTTCTTTTCATTTAATTTACGTGTTCAGCATTAAAAATGATATTCCATATCGAAAACATGAAATGTAGGTACTCCATTCTTGACGCTGGGTTTCTGCAATGTAATAATATACAACTCGCGCACGCTTCTTCTTGCGACATAATTTTCATTTCACGGGAGTTTCAAGCCGAAACTTTTTTCACTCGCTTATTATTCTGTTCCCTTCTGAACGTTCCATTTAGTGGCTCAAATGCGCGAACAGCCATCGTGTCGCATAAATTGCGAATTTTTCGCGGACCGGCACATTTGTGTCATGTTTCCTGTTTATGTAAATATGAGCAATAAATCGTATCCACTCATGAATTCGTTTCTTTCGCTCGACTTCCCAGCGGGATCGAAGAAACGAAATTTTATGACCAAAAGCCAAACTATGTCAATAAAATTACTCTCGGAAAAAAATGCTGCGCATGTCTTAAAAACTACTGGCGTACTAAAGTGCTTTAGTATGTAATAATTAATCCTAAAACGCTTTTTCGATATGGCATATTTTTTCCAATGCTTTTTCCATTGCTTATGATTTGTTTATCAATAAAAGTATATTTGGATTGTTATGTTCCTTAATAGTGTTTCAGTTGGAAAAATTTTTTTACAATATGTTACTATAATCATGATACTGTTATAGTATTATAAATTACTGTTATAGTAACAAAAGCTGTACGTATAGTTATTATTAATTTTATAACAAATAATAATCATACTCTTAATAACATGTAATTATAGTTACAAACACAAATTATTTTTCTTATTAGTGTAAAAATATATAAAGAAAGGAAAAGACAGAAAGAACAAGAGAGAGAAAATCATTAATCACACCAAATACAGAAGACAATTATTTTTATTAAATTTTGATTAAGATGAAGGAATTAAATGAGAAAAGAAAATGAAATATATATAAATAACACAAACATATCTAATCTTTTTTTAATAAACATTTATATAGAAAAATTTTTTTCATCTAATGGAATCAAATAAATGTTTCATTCGTATGTATGTTATTCGTCCAATATATACTGTAGGCATCAAAAAGAGATAGAAAAGCATATTTGTACCGAAAAGGAACGACCAAAGCTCTCTAATTTTCTCAATATGCATTGGCACGCATATTGAAATTGAATTTTGTGCGTACCTGTTCTTCTTAAGAATAAATCCGTACGAACACTTTGGCGATATCAGTACTTCGTGTGAACCTCGAATTTATTCAAACAACGTGGAAACCCCGGAGCTTTCGAATTTCCATAATCCTTCGCGTATGTTGTCGAGGAAGTTACTTCGCAGGTGGGACTTTATCGTTATAGAGAAATGATGTATGCGACACCGTCGATCATTGGAAATAACTTTCGACTGAGATCATTTGTCGTGCAGTCACGATTTAAATCGCAAATTTATATAGTAAAATATTTATTCATTTATCATTAATAAATTACAATTGTAGAAAGTTTACATTAATTTATTCATCTTTTAGGGAAATTTACTATGAATTATCCAACGCGTTTTTGGTAGGACAAATGTTTTTATTTTATTTTCTCTCTTTGTATGCAGTAAAGATTTTATGGATGTATTTTCTATTCCGAGAGCAATGGAAATTGCATATCGTGATTTCAGTTTCCAATTTTTACTCGATGATTTTAAAAACAAGCCAAATATGTATTATTTATTAAGCGATGAAAAAAGAAAATTGGAAGTTTACATTAACTTACCTGTTCTTAGGAAAATTTATTATAAATTATTCGTTCATTTTTTTTTTATAAGACAAATGTAGTCTCTCTGCACAAAAGGCATATTTTTTTATTAAAATTATACATAGCAATTTTAATTTTTATCCAATAATTTTAGAGACAATCTATAGAAATTTTATTGAGTGACGAAAGAGAGAAATTTCAACAAGTCTATATTAACTTATCTGTGTCTTTAGGATTACCAGTGTCTATTATAAATTACCGACGCATTTTTGGGAAAAACAAATTCTGTGTGCGTGTGTGAGTGCGCGCGCACGCGCGCATGCAGCAAAAATGGATTTTCTATTAAAAAAAATAGCAATGGAAATCGTTTATTGCGATCATTTTTGTTTGACAATTTTTGAGAGGATAAAAAATTTGATTTATTTTTTATTCAAGTGATAGGAGAACAAATCTACATCATCTATTTTTAGGAAAATTGCAACAAAATTACAAGTCTATATTATCTGTTTTTAGGAAAATTAAACTATTTAACGTGTTGTAAATGCTTTCAGCTGTAAAAAAAATCTTTGCTATTGCTTATATTTTTTATTTAAAAAAATAGCAATAAAAATTGCGTGTCATGACTCCAATTTCCTTTACGCAATGATTTATCCATAAAAATTGTATTTGTTCATATTAAGTAAAAGGAGAAAGAAAACATTTTAGAGGAAAATCTATATCGCGTGACAAACAAATTTTAAAGTAATTTAACACCAGAAATAGAACGTAGATATGCATATACTCACCATTTCGCTAGAGTACATCGCACGTGTGGAGCAATCATCTCCCTCTTGATTAATCCGTTACAGCGATCCCTCGATGTTCATCGATGCACTCGCAATGTACTCGCAATACTCGATCACACGCGTCCGAATAATGAGAAACTCACGAAATAATGCGATTCGTGCGCGTCAATACATCTGGAATGATACAGCGATCGATATCGGAGAGTGCAGATATAGAGAATAATGAAAAATGTATATAATCTAGATTGGATAGATTAATTGACACATCAAAACGATCATCCGTAGATCTGTTGAATCTCAGAATTTCTTTGGACTTAATGGTTACATTTAACAGAAAAAGCACCCAATCGTATTCATTTGCTTGGCGAGCAGGCTAATCATTTGAACACGACCAAGCATATTTTAAGCATGAATAGTAAATTAGCAGCTTTGTGCTTAAATATATTACGTTTAGAAAACAATATTAATTGTCTATATCAATGTGTATTGTTTATATCAATATCTATGATTAGTTCTTGTTATTGGTTCTTCTCATTGGATCTAAATATATAACATATTAAAGAATCTTACAAACAGTTGCAAAGCTACTAGCCTACTAATCAAGTTTGTTGTTAAATATGATTGATTGGATCTGGAAAGGAACAGGTTCATACTTTATTTGCTGATGTAGTGATTGACTTTTAGAAAATAAAACTATTTATTTTGTCAATGAGCGCTTAATTCATTATTATGTGATTGTTTATTTCCTTTAAAGAGATGTTGGCAATTAAATTTCAATGAGATCCGCTGTTTTATCATCAAATGAAATTTACAATACACATATACGATTTACAATAATGCAAACATACTATTTATGAAATATCAAATAGTTATTATGAATTAATCAATTATTAATTTATTAATTATTATGAAATATCGACATATCATTATATACTACTACATCAATATCATACACATAGATAGAGTTTCCTCAAGAAGTATACTTTTTCTTTCATGCTGTATAACTTGTAGATTTCACGATTTTCAAAAATTTATTAGGTGTTGGAATTAATTCGTAGCGTTTTACAAGTGATGGGAAGTACTTTCATTAATGTATTTTTTAATGCTCATGTGAAATAA